AAAATATAATTATTCATCTGCAAGACGAGCTATTATCTCTCATTGTGTTCTTTTTCTTTTAGAAAAGAATTCTGTCTTTACATATCGGCCTTGTCATTATCTAAACAGTCGAATAAAAAATATTTTCAGAAAGTCATCGTTCTTTCTCTCAAAATTTTCCCATGAGAAAATGATCGAATATTCGAGTTCTTACTCGTATATGAAAATAAGAAAGAGTGTTAAGAAGTTTTTTAACGAAAAATGAAATCGAATCTGTCTACACATATTAGATGAATTCGAACTTTCATAGAAAGATAAATACAATTGTGATTTATATCTGTTAGAGAACATTCTAACAAGATATATTCATGTTTTTTGTGTGTGAATTGTGCATGTATATGGGTCTATGTACAAGTCTTTCTTTTCTTTTCTTCTCTTTCTCTTGTGAAACACGATCTAAAAGGAGTGATGAAGTACAGGTGTAGAAATTTGGATCTCCCGCTTCCTCCACAGACCGTGACAGATAGGCTCTCGAGACCATCACAGGACGTGAGAAACATGGTGTAGAGACAATCATATACGGTGATAAACGGCTTCAAGGTACTACCAGAAGTCATGTATAAGTCAAGTCTAGTTAAAATATCGATGAAGTATTTCCTTATTAAAGTTCTATGTTTCAAAGCAAGGAATGATGCCGAAGTATACCCCAATATACATAAAAATGACGACTCTTTAGGGGATTAGCAACAATAGGTATATCGTGTTGCACATTTTAATCCTGCAGGGATTGCACTAACAGCTTTTTTGTATGGATTATCCATTCCATCATCTTGTACGTATCGAGACCAATTCTCTTTTCTGTTCGGGATAATTATTGAAACCCTAAAATTTTTTCTGATCTAGTTTTGCCCTCATATTGTGTAGTTGAGATAGGAGATGCATGGTATCAACCCACGTAGTTTCAATTAGGAAAGAGAGCGCAAAATAACCTTCTTTTCTCTTTTTGCTCTTTATGTTTTTTCTCTTCACTTTTTTCCATTCTGCTTAGGTGATGTATAAAACGGATGGATTTTCCTAAATAACTGCCCATGTCCTGAAAATCGCTGAAAAATTGGTGATTAATCGCCGATATTTAATGATATTTTTAGTGATTATTACGATAAATCACGATTTGTTTTCCGATTGTTTTACATATTAACAACACAGAGGCGGCGGAACGATTCAAATCTAGGGGAGGCTCAAAACTTTTCAGGCAGCGATAGGAGAGTGATATAAAGGGAGAAAGGATTTTTTAGCTTTCTAATTCTAACTCTTACTGGAATTTTCTTAAAAGATGCGCCATTCAATTTGACTATCTTTCGAGAATTATTTGTTTGGTCTTTACAGGAACCATTTAAATCACAGAATTTCTCTATTTAATATCATAAAATGCAATTAAACTATACTAAAAAAAAAATCTCTGGTCTGGAAGAGTGAATCCTCACCTTTCTAAGCTGTCTGTCTTTGACTTAATTTCTTCAATTTAATGTTAAAATGAAAACATCAGTCTCGGGACTTATAGAAATATTCTGAAAACGAATCCTAGAAGCTGTTGTTGAATTCTCTGTATCAACTGCATTACAAGGTCATGTGGGCCTGTTCTGATGACTTCTTAGGAAATTGGATAGGATATGTAAAATATTGCTACTTCCCTTTATACTGAAAGTAGTAAAAATATTTGTAATATACATACATATTTCTTATTTATCTTCGCACAAGAATTCTGAAAACCTTGATTTTTTTAAAGAAGCAAAACGTTCTTCAGACTTATCTTAACCAATTTTGAGAGAGCTAAAAGCAAAGATGTATAAAATACGACAATTTTTCACTCTTCTCAATTAAATTTGTTCCTCTATTTAAATGATTAATCGCCTAGTTGTTCACTTTTATATCTTTAAAATGATTTTCGAACATGACACGGATCACTTTGATAGTGTCATTGTATTGAGTAACGAATTTTTGTATATTAAACTTGACTTTAATAATCATTCTGCCATTTGTGGCCCGTTCAGTCTGTTATTATGGAGAAAAATTTCAGTTTCTCGCACATCTTTACTTTCTTTTCTCTCTAAAAGGTTTGCAATAAACCATTCAGATTTTTATCGTTTTTCTGTGCGAAAATAAATGCAAAATAGCTATTATTTCAAAATATGTTTATTAATTTCAACATAATCGGAATTAGAAATATTTTATACATCTTTTATTTCAGTTTTCTAAATTTCATCAAAAGAAGTCAGCAGGGGTTTTTTCGTAGTTATATTTTAGAAACCACCGACATCATATATTTTGAAAAACAAATAAAGAGTTTAGCATTTGTGCATACAGAGATATATACAAAATAAATCATATGGATAACTTTTTGAAACATTCACTATAAATTCAGAATGAGATTTGGAAAACTTTGTCAGAAGATGTCAAGTCTCTCTAGCCTTCCTCTTCATTTTCTTGAAAAGGCTGAAGACTCCTGAGGCCTAATGACTCCGTTCTCTATGACGCTATCTAACATCTGGCTGAACACACTCTTGATCAAAGAGTTTTCGCTTACTAAATACAAGTTCAGGATGAGATCTATAAAATTTCTTCAAATACCTGAGCCTCCCCAAGCCTAAGGGCTCCACCGCCACTGTAACAACATGTTTATCGCTAATCTGATCTGATATTATCATGATTTCGCAAAAATTTTATTTATTTTAACTTCATCTATTTGTTAAATGTATTTTTATTTAAAAACATGTACTATTTTGATCACGCTTAAAGTAAGAGTAACAAAGAATGGAAAGGAAATCAGATGATTATCTTTTCATTTCTTTTGCAAACCTCTCATGAAGTTTCACAAAAACAAAAAGAAAAAAGTGAATGTTAAACTATCTATAGACTACCATAGATAACAGATAGAAATGTAGACATGAATAATCATTGAGATACAGAAAGATAGCATGTCGATCTTAGGACAACTATAGAAACTGGTCCAGACATACTAGATTCAAGTGAATGAAATATAATATAAGTCGAATCTATATATGCGTATGAAACATAATGCCGAACGCCACAATCAAAAGTTAATTATAATTATCAAAATAGCTTCAATAATCAGAATATCCAATTTCAATATATTTTTTTCTAATTTTCATTATCATTAAAATTGTCTATCGATTATTTAGATGCTAAAATTTTCATATAATGATGACATCAATAGTGTTGATCGTTCTCAAAATCATTGCCAAAATTATTATTATTATCTAAAAGAGAAAAATGTAGAAGCATATTTTAGAACCTGTTGAGGCAAAACTATCTGATTCGGTTACATTTTTCCAAAATTTTATCTGAATTTTCTTAAGACTTGATACATTTGAGTGCCAGTATCCACATTGTTACCAGCAAATCCGCTGTTAAACGAAATCTAATTTGAACAGAATCTATAGTAAAAACAAAAAAATGGTTGGATAGTGCAGTTGAAATGGTTTACCTTTAGTGATTCTAATCTGCTTAACTGTGTCAATACAAGGTGAATCAATATCAAGAAGTTTTTTCCTTCTTTGAATATTCGATCGACAATCTTTAATACAATTTACTTGTATTCTTTTTATCATCTCAAATTAGCAAGAGGCAATTTTTTTTCCCGCTACTAGTGTTGAAAATCGAGAGAAAAAGACTAAAAAGAAATATAATACATTCCTACTTACAAGACTGCCTGTATTAAAAACTCATATTGATAATTCGATCCTCTCCTATCAAACAATACTAGTTGATTCTAAAAGAGAACTAAACATTTGACTCAAATCAGTTTTTTTACTTTATGATTTCTCATAGCCTTGACTATTTTTTTTTCGACTGTTTATAATGAAGCTGAATATTTTTTATGCTGATCGAACGAAATATGATTATGACGAGCTCTAGTATATAAATGCATTATAACAATTAAACCTTGAATAAAAACTCAATTATGTATCATAGAAAGAATTCATACATATGTATATGCTTGATATTAGCATAAACATCTGATATGAATGAAATTAAAATTTCCAGTATGCTTTCCAAACACATTAAAACAATGAGCAAAGCAGAACAATGATCTTTGTCTTGTTTGTCTAATCAAATGAAAGATACGATACGTACATCAAATGCACTAATTACTTTTTTCTTCACTGTGAAGTATTTACACATCTAAAGTTACTGTATTTGTACTTTTTGTAAATTTATATCAAAATTTTAGTTACTCAAAAGTACATTTACATCCGATTATTTTAAAAACTCTGATTAATCGCGATTAATCATTCCGATTTCTCACCGATTACGATTAATCGATTTTCTTTTCAATATCGCGATAAAATCTGATTTTATCGTCGATTTTTCAACCCATTTCGATTAATCGCGATTTAACGTTTATTTTTCAGAAAATCTCGAAAATCGCGGCGATTTTCACGACATGGGTGCTAAAGTTAGTTCGGAAATAAATCCTCAATGATCTGGCTATATTGTTCGAGAGAAAGATCTCTGTAGCAATGTCAATAACTATTTTTCGGCATTGAATTTTTAGAAACGACTTGCGCCATTTTTTCCTTCGGTTCCTTATTCGTTTCGCCAAATTACCATGCTTGTCTGCTAGTGGACTTGCAAAGTCCCATTTCGTCTCGTCAATGAACTCGCGAATTTTTTTTTGCGATTTGGCAACTTGATTATACTATCCGATAGAGCTCATGGGTTCCTGCTTCGTAACATATTTTATGGACTACAGTCAAATGAGATGGAAAACTTCACTGAAAATTCCTTGGTTATATTTATTTACATTGACAAAAATGCACGGAAGATATAAGAAGTTTTGATACATGTTTATATTTAATCTAAAATCAAACAAAAGCATATCTAAATTCTAGTAACCGACAATAGAAAGTTAAAATCAAATAAAAAAAAATGATCGGTATAACTGCACAGAAAAAACAGAGTCTCAATCAATATGAAAAAGCACTTTTATTTTTTTTTGTTTATGATTGACGATATTTACTCATACGTTGACGACTATCAATTTCGATTTTTTGTAATAGACGATAAATTTCATATTTATCTTTATGAAAATCTGCCATTTTGAGATCTGGCATATAAGTTTGAATTGGACAAGCTATACCATTTAATAAATCTTGTACTTGTCGTGGATTATCTGCTATTAATTGACCACATATAGCTGCACCTAATAGAACACAATCATAATTTGCTTCCGATACAGAAACAGGCATTTGAACAACATCAGCCATGATTTGTGTTAATAATGATAATCGTGCTAAACCACCACAAATTTGTACAACACGAAAATGATGACCAGCTTTGGTCATTACTTCAATTATATGTCGACTATTATAAGCAACAGCTTGTAAAACAGCTAAATATTGTATTGCTAAATTATCTAATGACGTATCAAAACGAAGACCACTTATTGAAGCACCTAATTCGGGATCGGCTACTGGTGAACGATTACCATGAAAATCAATCGTCATATGTAAATTACTACTTAATAATGATATATTATCAACTTTATATTTTTTTTGTAGATTATGTAAAATTTCATTAAGTATATCGAATATATTTTTATTTTGTTCATCTGCTAATTGTTTTAAATCATTGTAAGCTGGATGGATTTGTATTATATGATCAATAGATTTTCCGGCTGCTGATTGACCTCCTTCATTAAGCCAAAGATTAGGAATAAGAACGTTATAATATGGACCCCAAACCCCAGGAACAAAAATTGCCTTTTCACTGGATGCCATAAAACAACTTGATGTACTACAAATAAAATTAATAGAAATAATGAAGATAAAAATATCTTTTTCTTATACCCTGCAACTATAACCAAACGCTCAGTAAGATGAGCTTCGGGTATTGGGGATTTACATGCTAATCCACCTAATGCTCCTGCATATGAATCAATTAATGGTAAACCAACATGAATACCTTGTGGTAAGCCGAGTTCATCCGCTGCTTTTTTACTTAAAACATCGGTAGCCGAGTTCGAAAATGAGTTTCGCACAAGTTGACCTAATTTTTCACCTTTATTTTCCATTAAATCACCTAAATCTAATTTCGTCCAGAACTTTTCATCCCATCCATGTTTAGTTTCCGATGAACGATAACATATATATACAGATGAACAAATTGATCGATCGAATTGTTTAGTTGCACGAAAATGTAAATAATCAGGTAAAGCAAAAAAATGTGCACGTGTCCATTGCTCATTAGATAAATTACGTTTAAGCCACATTATTTTTGCTGGTTGCATTTCGGGATTAATTTTACCACCAAAATATTTTAACACTTCATCTGAACTTGAATTAATTATAGCTGCCTCAGCATGTGACCGATGATCAAGCCACATAATTATATTTTGTTCATCATTACCCGAACGAGAAACACTAATAGGTTCATATTTTTCATCAACAACAACAAGTGAACCCGTGCCATCAAAACCAATCGAACGAATAAGTCCTATTTGTTCAGATGTAAATGATCCAAGTTCGAAGCATTTTCGAACACAATAACAAATTGCTTCCCAAATGTCAGTTGATGATTGTTCATATTCAAGTGGAGCAGATGATGAATGATATATCTATGAAAAAGAGATACAGAGTTCACAATCGATAGTACATATGTCGTGTCGAAGTTACACCTCCGCCAACCGAGTGTAACTTCGACACGACATATATATGAAATCAATTAAAATTGAAACCAGGGAAAAACAGGTCGATTGAAATATAACTAAACCGAACAACAAGACTTTACATAAGAACAGCATAAAATTCGTTTTGAAAGACAAAATTGAAGAAATGGAATTATAGTTCTATATATCACCGTAAGTGATTGTTGAGCAGTGCCTATATCAATTCCTCAAACTTGCACCACCTCATAGTCTGCCGTCAGGATACCCATCAGATATCGAATATGATCAGGTCGAATGTTCGAATCCACCTTCCATCTTCTTTTTTTATTATTTTTCTATTTTATGGACTAGTCTGGACGGGATTCATGGGCCACATAGACTAGACGTGTCTAGATCCAAGGATGTTCTCGATTAGGGTAGACTTGGTTGGAGGACATTTCTCCTAAAGTTGACTAATCACGACGATGTGCAAGATGTTTCAGAGTAGACTTGACACGTATTGCGAACATTTCGGACCAGTCATGCCAGCTGTCATCAATTAGTTTTTGCTTACTTGGATAAGATTTAAATTTAGGAAACAATTAACTTATCAAAAACCACACTTCATAATAATAATTTCTCAATATCTTACACAAATCGGTTTCTTATATTGAACGACAGGTGTCCATTTATCATCAAAAATCATACATCGAACACTTCCTGTTCCAACATCGACACCAATTGCATAAGAAGATGATGTTGTCATCTAAAGTAATCTAATAAATAATACAACAATATGTTCATCAAGTTGTTATCGTTCAATTAGATCTTTTTTTCTTTTTTTTGTTTAGATTTGTAACGGAAAAAA